AATTCTGGGAGTTGAAGTCCACACATCTTAAAGTTCCCAAGGTTGAGAAACACTGCTATAGGCAATATTTCAGCCTAACATACAACTGTGTTAGCAGCCTGGAACTTTAAACAAACAGTAATAGCAACAATAAAACCCCAAGCTGCAACTACTTTTCCAGTTGGGCATGTTCATTAGTGCGCCAAAATCATAAATTTCACTAAAGGCGTAATTAAGTTATGTTATCAGCTCTTTGGAATGCATCTTCAGACAGAACGGCACTAGAGAAAAACATCAGTTGATATCCTCCTCAAAAGTAGTATTGCTGAGCTACAATATCTATTTAAAATGAAATCTGGCAGGTGCAAGGGACGTGGTCTGCAACCAAACTGGCTGATCTCTTTCTACTCTCTCCCATTTGCACTAGCAGATTTCTCCGCCCATATTAGGAAATCTCCATCTTTACTCTAACGCTTGGCAGATGTATGTAGAAAACGATACCGAGTTACATAAGATCTTGCAATACAGAAGCTGTTTTCCAGTGGATCCATCCTGTGATGCTTAAAAGCACCAGGCCCAAGGTTGGTTTCGAGGCTGTCCTTGGCAGGTTACTTTCTGGTACATCTGGTGCCCTGTCAATGGATGGCTTCTCTTGGTGGTAGGTGAAACGCTTTCATTTGGTGTGGGAATTCCAGGAACATTTGAACACCAGAAAATGCAAAAACCGGTTGCCCTTGGTGGGCTTAGCCCTGAGTCCATGGAAGGCTTCAGTGACAGGCCTAGATGCTGGTGTCTGAAATTCTTTTGTGCAAAATCTGGACCTGGGTAGAACGTATCAGAAGTCTTCTCTGCTGCCATCCACCCTGTTCCCAGTTCTGGGCACTAAGCAATGTCATTTCCCTTTTAAAAATGGTTCTTTTTGTTTAAACCACCTTGAAGCAGGGTAGAAAATAGGATTTTAAAACCTTAAACTGGGGGATTGCCTGCACCGCACCCTGTTAGATTTATTCAGTTATCCTCTCTCTTTTGCACCACCTGGACCTTCAATAATTGATTTAAGAGTTTGGTTCTGACTGGCTGTGGACACTGTCAACTCACACAACATTGCTAACTGGCCCACATCCTGTTTCTCATTTATTGGGCTTCAAGGTCATTAGCAAGGGAATCACCTCTGATTCTGAGCTAGGGTGGCAAACAGTTCTATTACTTCTCCCAAGGTAGATGGGAGGGAGGGTCAGCCATATGGCATTACGGTGTTATGCATTCACATTTTTTAAACAAAGAACAGAAAAACCTCAGTCTTCGCAGCAGAAGAGCATATATTACACACCGCAAAACCATTCTGTAGTTTCCCAAGATAGATCATAACTAAGACAGAAACCCATACAGAAGTTTTAGAGGACTCCAGGAGCACGTACGTGCGTGAAGCTTTCTGAAAGAAGTACTTCCAAAACCTTCATATCCTTGCGAGTTGTACAGCTGGAGCCAGGTTTGAATGGGTAGTTATTATTGTAAATCGGGGCTACTCAACTCTGGATTCCTAAAGGCTACATTTTTGAATTTGCAACACCCATTCGGGGATCCTTTCTGGGTGAGGGTGCCCTCCGTTTCCAAGTCCTAGTACAACGAACTATCCGTGTTGAAGAGCGTGAATGGAGACGCCAGTTTCTTCTTAATGGTGGAGCTGCCACTTACAACTGAAGGCAGGCAGAGTGTGCTCGCGGCTTTCTGCCTATTTTTGGTTCCCCAACTCAAGAAGGATGGTTTAGGAGTCACCTTCTTGGCCTTGTCGGTTCTATCTTCTTCCATGGCCAAACATATCAGGGAGTATGTCTTCTGCATCCCCGCAGAGTAAGTGGCACTTTTGTTATGCTGGAGGGGAAGGAGGAAGAGACCAGCATTTAAAAAAAGAGATTCTGGAAACATAAAGTGGAAAGCCATCAGAGAACACACAGTGTTTAAAGTATATTCTGTGATGGGAGGATGCTATTCTTCTGCATTCATTAAATTCTCCCTGGGCCAGTCTCCAAGTCTACAGGTAGTCCTCACTTAACGACCATTCATTTGATGACGATTCAAAGTTACAACAGTCTTGGAAAAAGTGCTTTACAACCTGTTCTTGCACTTACAACCATCGCACCACCCCTGCAGTCATGTGATTGCAATTTGCAACCTTTTTTACGACAGTCATTAAGCAAATCATGTGGTTGTTAAGCAAATTCTAGCAAAAAACATCCATTGGGGAAGCTGGATTTGTTAACGACCATGTGATTCACTTAATGGCCACAGTGACTTGCTTAACAACCATCGCAAAAATGATCGTAAAATCGGGTCTGGTCTTGTGGTGACTCACTTAACAGCCACCCCACTTAACAACCAATTTTCCGGTCCTTATTGTGGTCTTTAAGCAAGGACTACCTGCATATAGATGGATTTTCAAAAAAAATGTGCTTATTATTAAATTTGGACATGAAATTTGTCTCCTTGCAACATAGTTTCTGAAAAAGTTTCTTTGCTCAGAGTAAAATTTCCAAAACATAGTTGCAATGAGCACTAACCTTATTTCTGTAAAAATAATAAGGATCATTTTTCAAGAAAAGGCTGTGCGGGAGAATAGAACAATGTTTTTTGCAAGCAGAAGCTCTTCCTCTTTGCTCGTTTTTTAAAAGAATTAAAAGTTGCAAAGGCTGAAGAAACATTTTCTTTTCCCCTAGTTTATTTTAATCTTTGTAAAAAACAAAAACCAGTGGAAACTCATATCATTAGTTTTTAGTTATTTGCTATGGCAACTGGGGTGGGGGTGGGTGGGAACCATAATAAAAGGGGAATGGAGCTCAGCTCACCTTATGGCATAATTGAATTTTCAACTTAATTTAATACAATTTAGAGGCCCCCTGACTCCAAACAGGTCTAGGTGGCTTACGCTTGAAAAAAGCAGGAACCATTAAAAATAAACAAACATCATACAGGTCCAGATTATTGCTTAAACATAATTTAATGAATTAATATCTTGCAATCCTGATGCCCTTGTAGTGAAATTTTGTTCACAGCTTTACTTACCAAGGAAGGTGTTGTTTCTTGACAGCTGATCACTTGGATCTCAATCTCCCGCTCTCTCAAATTCTGGAGTTTTTCCAAGACGTCACTTGTTCCCAACCATTTGCAATCTGTGCCTTCAACAGCGATCATGGTATCTCCTTCTTTCAGACCTGCCAACTAAAAATCATTGGGCATTCCTCAACATCTGCTAAGCCCAGCAGAATCTGACAAACTTTTCTTACCAGTTTTAACTTTCCAGCTTCACTATGGAAGCCAGATCAAAATGATGAATATTCTAGATTGCAATCCTATCTCTAATTACATAGGGTCAGTTGATTATAATGGGGTACAAACCCAATCAATCAATCAATCAATCGTATGGGAATAAATCCCATAGTGCCTAGTGGGACTTACTTCTGAATCAATAGGTTCATGATTTCATTAGTAAATCTGGGCACGTGGGAAAACTCTCGCTGTTTGGGCTTCCATATTGTGCTGTCAAGCCATAAAATGTCTTTCTTACATTTGGCTTAGCATACTAAGTGAACCTAGCCAATTGGGTTTTATTTGGTATACCAAGGTTAAGCCATGTATGGTTTAGTGAGATGCATAAACCCAGTCTTGAAGAACTTAACAGAGGAAGAAAAAGGGTTACTACTCTACTCTTTCACTGTCTACAAATAAGGTATAATAAAGCGCCCATACAGAAAATATACAACATTTAAATTGGACCAATCCAAAGTGTTAGGTGGAATCCCAGTTTTCTTTTAGGTTATGGCTTACAATAGACTATTTTTCAGACTCAGTCACTAAATCAATACCAGGGAGGGCATTTCAAATAGCGAAAAAAGCCCATTGAAGCAAGACAGTTGATTAAGTATCTGACGGATTCAAATGTATGTTTCTGCCAGTTGTGTACAAAATTCCACTGAAATTAACCCTTTACACTCTGAACAACTCTAAAGGGTGCGCTAAGTGATATGGAAGTGGAACTGCTAGATCTAAAAGGTCCACTTACTGCTGCAGGAGAAGCTGGGTCAAGGCAGTCAATGTGCACTGGTGGGCCTCCTTTGAGAGTAAACCCCAACATGCCATCTTCACAGCAGAAACGAATTATGCGAGGTGGTGTCCACCTCTGCTTAGCTGAAAACACTGTAAGTGGGCCCTGAGAAACAGAGAGCAGTAGAGTTAAATTATTCATTCTGTTTTGCAAATGTTAATCAAAATTATAGAAAGCCTCTCTCCCTACAGGTATTCCCCTAGACCTTCTATGTTTTCTAGAAGTATCCAGCAATTAGTAATTTACATATTATTCTTCATAGACTCAATAAGGACACAATACACACACCAGTATCTTAACTATGAAAATAGTTCAACCAGGTTTACATATTGTCCTAGCTATAATGCTCTTAATCATAGTTTGTTCAATAGCCCACCACTGTTTGGGGTCATAGTAGAAACCACAGACACTGCACAAACCACCGTAATGGGTTCACACAACATATTTAGCCTAAGACAAAATGAACTTTAGAGAGATTTGCATCCAGTCCACAGCTGTCACCATCATAGTTGGGTTAACATATATGCTCAGCCATGGTTTATTGAATAAATCCCTCTACCTGGCTTCACACAGCACACTAAGCTTTAAAATTTACAAATGGCAATGGCTGAGTTTTACACAGCGCTTGAAGCTGCGAAGAAAACCAATCTATCAAAGTGTGCCTACTTAAACTACCGCTAGCCTTAACTCGAGCTAAACCTTAACCTCATGTTCGTAAATAGACGTGACCCACTGCTAGTTTGCAGTGAGAAGCCCTCCCAAGTGATAGATTTCAAGAAGCTGCAGATTATTTTCATAGTTATTTTAATTCTGATGCAAGAAAGCATTCATACATATCACGGACAATGCGTCATAATGGCGGGAGAGTAGATAGCTTCAGACATACCAGCCTTTCAAAGAAGTCTCTCACTTTCACATTGGAGAACAGAGGAACAATTAGTTCTATTTTGTGATTCGTCTTGGCTAGAACAAAAGCAAAGCAAATAGATCTATTATTTTTTTTTAACCACTTCTGGGAAGCTCAAAGCAATATGTTTTCTTTTTCCACCCTCTCCCAATTTCACAGCAGCTGTGTGAAGCAGCTTAGCTCGAAGATCATCTCAAAAGCTTCATCTTTGACTGAGGATCTGGAACTTTTTCTTTGTAGCTTTAAAACTTAGCAATCTAGCCATTCCAATGGGACTAAACCTGTATCCACTTAGAACCTGAATCATGTCAGCAAAGATTCCGATCTTAGATTATATACTTTTCCATTTCCCACCGGTCCACCCTTCATGCATCTCCATCCACCAAAGCTGATTTTTACAAACTGGGACAAAGTACATGGAATACCATGGCTTTAGAAACAGTTTTAAGACCACATTTTTCCACACTGTAATAAAACAAAAATCTTGGATGATTACAACAGGATCAAAACAGCACAAAATAGCAGCAGTAAACATTTGCTAAAATGGAGCTCCATACAATGGGAGAAACATGTTAGTAGCTGCTCGCTGTTTTAACAGTGTGCTTTGATTTTGTTGATTAATTCTTAGGTATTGTTATGCTAAGAGGGTAATATAGATCAGTAAATCACTGTGGGAACATTTAGTTTAAATGCAGCATTAAAAACCTGGGAATTAATAATACAATCAATAAATGCCAATAGCTGCACTGAAAGAGTAGCCACCAGCTCTAGATGAACGTAAGAACTGAATTGGAACCTTTCGAATTTAGACTTCGTATTTCTAGCAACTAAGCAGGCTGAAAAGTACAGAAAAGGTCCAGTATGAGGGGTACGTTGCAGGCCTTGTCAGGCAGGGGAATGTGGTCTGGCAGCACCCAGGAAGAGAGCCTTTTCTGCCATGGCCCCTGCCCTGTGGAACGTTATCCCCCGGAAGATCAGAGTGGCCCTGACCTGCTGGCTTTTTGCAAGGCCCTGAAGACTTGGGTTTGCCAACGGGCATGGGGACCGACCCAGCAGCGTGGTGGACCGGTGCAGTGACCGTACTGATCGTTGGTATGAATGGGATCACCTCAGCTGTGAGTTTTATGTGTTTTATGATGTTTTTTAATATGCTTTTATATTTTGTTCTTGTTTTTAAATTGTTGTATTGTTCTTTTTAGTTGTTTTGATATTTTTTTTAATTGTTTATAAGCTGCCTGGAGTCATATTCATATATGAGATGGGTGGCTATATAGGATGGATGGATGGATGGATGGATGGATGGATGGATGGACGGACGGACGGACAGACGGACAGACAGACAGACAGACAGACAAAAAGGGATCCACTTCTGGGACATCCCAGTCTGAAAAGGACTTACAAAGGATACTGGGTGCCTGCACCAAACTAAAGAAGTCATCTTTCTGCTCCTGCTGGGTGTATTTGAGAAGGGACTGCTTGTGTGCTACGGATAAAATCTCCTGAAGGATCTCTATATTCCGGAGCTTTCTGCATAAGCTGCAAACTCTTAAGGCTTCTTCGTGATAATTGAGGGCTCTGTGCAAATGAACTCTTCCTGGAAAAGGAAAACGGCACCTTTAATAAACCACGAGATCTGGAAGACATTCTCCCCCTACCCTTTGTTTTTCTTCTGCCTTTGAGTCAGGGTTGACTCCTGGCAATGCCTGGATGAGTCCCTGCAGTTTTCTTGGCAAAGTTTTGGAATTGCTTGCCATTGCCTCTTCCTAGGGCTGAAAGAGAGTGACTGGCCCAAGGTGACCCAGCTGGATTCATGCCAAGGCAGGACTAGAACTCATGGTCTCCTGATTTCTAGCCCGATGCCTTAACCACTACACCAAACTGGCTCTTTTCCTCTTTAGGATACCTAAATGTCAGCAAAATAGGGCCATAAGACATCTGAGTATCCAATCCAGCAGTTCATCATTTGAAGAATCCTCCTTCAATTTAAGGGCTGACTAAGTTCAGCCATCTATTAAACTATAGGTTGCTTGACCATGATTCCTTGAATAAGGCATAATTTGTTAGGTCCACACATCACACTAAAACTGAAATCATGATTTCCAAGCAAAAAATGGCCAGGTTAATCCAACACACTAAACATATTTGTAAATTACAGAATATAAATTAGCATTGCATAATCCCAACTCTGGTATTCAACAAATCATAGTTAAAGGCCAGGACTTAATATATTGGCTGGCTTCAGACATCATGCTAAGTCGTGATTTTCCTACTCATTGTTTGTTAAACAAATGGAAAACCACCATTTTCAATATTCACTTAAATAGAAAGGCAGGGTATAAACTAAATGAATTAATAAATAAATAGGATGGACTTCTGCACCATAAAAATCCAGGATTTCTAAGCCACAACAGCTCTGCCTATCCAAAATCATACAAGCCACATTATTTAGAATGATTCATTGTGCTGTGTGTGAACACAGTTATTTTACCAAGTCAAAGCTGTCCAAACCACATTATGACTTATCTACTACGGCAGTGTTTCTCAATCTCAGCAACTTGAAGAGGTGTGGCCTTCAACTCCCAGAATTCCCCAGCCAGCATGCTGGCT